GTTTTGTACACCAAAAAACTTTTCAAGAAACTATTTTGTTCATAAAAGCCATGTATGGTACAATTAAATATTAGGGTTTGAAGCTGAATAAAACTGCTATTAGAAAAAACATACCATTTACTTCTTATTCATTGGTGAATGTCCTTACAAAGAGTTAAGACTTTTAGTACTGGATTTAGTTGCTATAATGTGTTAAAATGAAGAATGTTAAAAAGATGCTAAGCAGTTTCTGCTAATCAAATCCACCAAACTATTTTGTTCCCTGAATAATAAAGACAATTTAATAATATATTGTGTAATTTAGTTATAAAAAGAAAGGGAATTTTTTTCCATCATTTGTGTGAGGCTGAGTTGGCTGAGAAATAAGACATAATCCTAAAAAATACACAAGCTTATAAGGATATTCTAATCTTTTTGGTATTATTATAAAATGTGAAATACTTTCTTTAAAGCCAGCACTCTTGAAGTACTTTGAAACAAGATATTGGCATTCAAGAAAACCTTATTTCTAATTTACTTTTGGTATTGTTTTATTGTTAGTAGTTTGAACAAAAAAGGATACATACAGTATTGGAAATAATTCTAGAAATTCAAAGGTGATTCATATGAAATCACAAGCAATACATTATTACAGAAAATGTAAAAGTAAATGGAATAAGATATACAGTACACTAATATTTTATATTTGCTGAGCAAATACACCTTGTACTTATGCTACCATACATTTACTGATGCATGATTGTGAAAGATTGTTCCAAATGTCCTGTATTACTCCTCACATTTCAGCCAAGTTATTTGGTTATCATTTGATCCTCTCAGTTTTGAAGTAGGCCCATACAACCTTAATATTATTCACACCAGTACTTTGTACAAGCCAATCCATTGTTGTAAGTATTACACTGGAATCTTTTTTTTTATTTCTTCCAAATATTTTATCCCAAGATTTCTTTTGGGATCATTGTCTTGCTGGAAGATGAATCCCTGCCCAGCAGGTCTTGTTTCTGAGGTAATGTCATAATGGATAAGAAAATTCTTTTATGTGTCAGCAGTCAGGTTGCTAACAATTTTGTATAGATCTCCAGCACTATTGTATTGGTGCTTCCGCATAGCTTACTGTTAATATTGTACATTGACTATGGTATCTTTCTCCTCTTTGCTATCTCACAAGCTATTGTTGCCAAACAGGTTGAGTTTGGATTTATCCATAAAGAGCACCCTCTTCAATCTATGAACATCCCATTATATGAAGTGTGATGCCCATTTCACCCTTTTGGTTTGTTTACCTTCCCTAAACAGATGTTGAGAAGATACATATCCACTGAGGCCACTTCATGTAAATATTTGTGTTATTGTCCTGATGGGTAACATTCACATTTATACTCAAACTAATTGTTGACAAGATCTGTATTGAATTGTTTTGTATCATGTAATGAGCAAAACTTGAGTTATTTAACTTTTGAAGAGTTTGGACTTTCTACCCCAATTGCTTCTATTTTTAACTAGTTTCACATATACTTTCTTTAGAGTTTCCGTACAGCTTCTACTGAAACATGAAATTTTACCTCAATTTGTCACATACAATATCATTCTTTTGAAAACTATGATTTCTACGTGTTTTTCAGGTGGTTTTTCTGCCTTCCATCTTTGATCTTTTGCTACGTTGTTGCTTATTCACATGTTAATTTGATATCTTTCATTTCTGTTTCTGTTGTAATTGGTCTACCCCTTAGCCTCATACCTTCTTATGTTGTTTGGGTCTCTTCCTTCATGTGTGTCTTATCCATCTCCATCTTCTTTCCATAATTACCCATCCTATTGGCTTATGTTTCAAAGTTCTTTATGGTTTTTTCTGGTCAACTGATGTTGAAGATCTGTCTAAAGCAACTGTTTATAAAAGTTTACAGTGCTAGCAAGATGTGTGAAGTGGTTGGACTTCATGTATATCAGTCCCAGAAATCTTTTTGTATTGGTACATATTGATTCTTATTGTTTTAGTTTTCTCTGTGTTGATTTTAAACCCTAATTGATGCCTCCAAGATGTGTATAAGTCAGGAATACATTTGTTTTGGCTTACATACCTTTGTTGGTATGGAACAGCAGGTTGATATTTTCCACAAAGTAAAGATCTTCTAACTTCTGTGGTTCTTCTTACTACTCAATTTATTATCATTAGGAAGTTGATGGGTAACATAAGAGCCCTTGTCTTATACCAGTAGTAACTTTGAATGGCTTAATCAGTTGTCCATTATGTAAGGCTTGACATGTCATATCTTCATAGAAGTTCTGAATGATATTCACAAATTTATGGGGGGATCCAATAGTGGCACAGGCTTTTTTGGAAGTCTATGAAATTCACAAAGAGCAGTGATTGAAATTTAATGATAAACAGCATTACTATTTGAGCTATGCATGATTTCTTCTGTCTAAACTCTGCCTGTTCTTGTCATAGCTTTGAATCTACTGCTTTCTTTAGTCTATCAAGGATGATATGGCTAAATACTTTATTTGGGATGAACAACAAGTGAATGCCCCTCCAGTTTTTGCACTGACTGAGGCTTTCTTTTGCAGCTTCAGTATATCACCATTATTCCATTTCATTGGCATTTTGTCTTCTTCCAGTATCTTTTGTAGGAGGTCTAAAAATATCCACTTTGTTCAGATCTAGCTTAAGGGCATCAGTGGAGATGTTGTCTGGAATTGGTGTCCTTGCAATCTTTTTTTAACTATTTAACTGTCCTCTCAACTTCTGTTCCTCCATATATTTGTCATCGTTATTAAGTTTCCTTCATTGTCTAAGTTGTTTATTTTTTTATTCCTGTCAACTGTCTTGTGATGCTGTACAAGGTCTTCATGACATTATGTGTTCAGGATTCTGTGCATCTGATTCACAGTACTACAATGGGATATGTCTGTACTCTTACAGGAATTATGCTAGTGTGGCATTAGAGATTAGTTTAAAGCCAAAAGTTAAAGCTTCTAAACTAAGAATAAACTTATATTTGTGCTAAAACTAGATACACCAGGTATTGTTAGCTGAGCATTTGAAATTTTATTATATACAAAAATTATTTTTCTTTAATTTTTTTATTTGAGAACACTAAATTTGGATAGTTAAACATGAGGTGTGCAGACAGATACACTTAGCTTTGTAAAAGTACAAGACTCTTCCCACCAGTATAGAAAGGAGTAATTAGGTTCAGTATCATGATGATGTTGTGTAGAAGGTTGACTGTTGTGTGTAGAAATGGAAATGTGAAAGTTCTTTGGACTTTTTCTAGATTTTTTTATTTACCTAAATTTATTAAATGTCCTTTGATGTCTGTAAGGTATTTGTCTAATTTTAGGTTTTCTGTTTATGTGTAAATAACGTATACAGAAAACTTATGTTGATCAGTATTTCCTTATTTTCAAATTGTAGGTCAAAAAAAGTGACTTACTGTCCTGACAGAGAAAAGCATCGTCAGACTATTGTGATTAGAGATACACCTAGCCCTGCAGTGAGTGTAGTTATTTTGAGCTCTGATTCAGAAGAAGAAAGTGAAAGCCCCACATGGTGAGCATTATTGTTTCACATCATCCTAATTTATTTTCATGTACAAGGTATGTGTAATGTTTATAAAAATTAGGGAATATAATTGTTTTATTTTTAAACTTTTGGATATGAATTTTGTAGTTTTAAAGCAACCAGGATAAACTTATATTATTCAAGCATTGATTATGATTACTTTATTCATAATCTCGTGAGGTTATACCCGATGTCTTCAAATCTTAGGAAATTAATTGTTTCATTCATAGTCATTACAAGGTTTGTATGTGCCCCAGAAAGTTGAAAGCAATTCCTATACTTGGAAAACTTGAAAAATTATACTCTAGTCAAGAGTACAAATTGCATCAAGGAATATAAAATATTTTATCTTTTGTAAAACAGCATTCCTATGCTTGGAAAACTTGAAAAATTATACTCTAGTCAAGAGTACAAATTGCATCAAGGAATATAAAATATTTTATCTTTTGTAAAACAGCAAGCTGTATATCACATTCTGCATCATAAGTTTTTGTACTTTTATTGAACATATCATTCACTACTTTAACTTCTTTACAAAAGGAGCAAATAGGTTATAGCTTTACATATGGTAAGTAGCTGTATATATATACAACATGTTCAGTTCCAGCAGGAAGTGCACAGGAGATGACTTAATTAACTTAGTTAAGATAGATGTTCCATAGATGTCAGTATGGGAGGTGAATAAATATTTTGTCATTTGTACATCAAGTATTATAAAATAATTGCTTAGTGTTTATTGTTCAGTGACTTTTATAGAAGGCTTTGTTTGTTTATTGGTTCTAGTATTTTTAATGATAATCTAAAATAACTAGCTTTTTTGTAGTACTTACAGTTAATAACTGTAAAGCAAATTTAGTAAATGTGTCCTGAAAAATAGATGATACCACCATGGAATGTCTTTTAAAAAGTCCTGGAATTTTGTTCTTGGTCAAGTGTATGAATTTTACATTACGATATGCATAATTTGCCTAAAACATTTATAGTTGATTGTTTTAAGCGTAAAGTCATGAGGATATGCTTATTTTGTTCAAACACTGTGATACTATTTTTATTCAAAGCATTGGAATACAAGGTTTTGTATTAATAAATTCACTATGATATACATAATTTGTTATAAATTGACATGTGACTTTGAAACATTAGAATATCCCTAGTTTATTCAAAATATTACTTGGATATGAATTTATATTCAGAAACTCATTAGGTTATGCCTATTTCAGTATTAGGGTACAACTGCTTTATTCATATAGTCATTAGGTTATAACTAGTTTTTTATGGAAACTGCATATATCTAGTTTGATTATGAACTTGAGGACTAGTAGAGAATTACAGAGGAGGGATCTCTCTAAGGAAAACTTAATTTACTTTCTTTTATTTAAATTTTGAAAAAAATTTCAGTAACTACTTCTTCATTTGCTTTTTTTTTTTCTTTGATGATAATAAGAAAAAGTTACTGGTTGACAAGAAACTATGCTATGAAAGTAGATTTTTTATGTCTACATGTTTTTCATTCACAGTTGTAAAAGCAAAAGTTTGCTTCCAAGCAGAGATAAGGAAACAAAATCAAAGAATGTCATAGACTCGGTATTAAGGACTTCAGTTGCTGCCACAACCTGTGCAAGTGTTCTTCCATTAACCCCTGAATCTGAAAGTGGATTATGCAGCATCCAATCCACACCAAGACAAGGTAACATGCTGTAACCAAAGAATATTAAAGTGGATTTTGAGTAGTCAAGCAAGCATTAATCATTTGTTGTAGTGTGAAAATGATATTTTATGCTGCTACTGTAAATTTTTACCAGGTTGTGAAGGCAGTCTGCACTAGCATTTCAAAATGCCATTTCCAAACTACTACCAGTGCATGAAGTGCCTTATGCTATTGTAACTGAATTACTACCCATCTCCTAAAATCTGTTTAAAACAATGTTGAAATAACTGTGGGATATTGGCTTATTAAGTAATTTTACCTTTTAAAATATCTAAAAGAGTAAACTATAATCAAATATACTTAGTATAACTGTTGAATATTTCAGTAAATAAAATATCAATGACATCTAAATGATATGACAATATTGTAAAGAAAGTAATTTTGGAGTTTATTAGTATTATATAATTGCAAATTTTGTAAGAGGCATATGGTTCAGATTTTAAAAAGAACAAATTTTCCTCATCTGGTGATTGCTGTTGGTCATGATACTTGAGAAATTTTTATAACAAGTAGTATAGAAAATGTTTAATATTTTGTAACTGGACTATCCTTTGAAAACTGGTTTGGAAAGTATTAGAAGTCAAAGATTTAATAAAATTTTCTGTGTTTAAAAAAAACTGTTTTTTGTACTTTCTGGCTTCAGATTAATAAGACTATTCATATTTTATCACAACTGCTGATTGTACTGGCTAAGGTGGAATCAGTGAATATTGGGAATTATGATTGTTTTCCTACTGGTTCAAGCTGGGGATAGGCTTCCTATTGGTTCAAGCTGGGAATAAGAAATCTATTCCCAGCTTGAGCTAACAGGAAGCCTATTCCCAGCTGCAACCAGTAAAAAGCCTACTGGTTTCAGCTGGGAATAGGCTTCCTACTGGTTCTAACTGGGGATTTACTTCTTAGTGGTTTCTTATGGGAACAGGTTTCCTTCTGCTTCCAACTGGGAATAGGTTTCCTGCTTCTTACACATAGAAATTCACTTTCTTCTGTTTTCAACTGAGAACAGGTTTATTGCAGGGTCCAGCTGAGTTCTGCATTCCTGCTGTTTTCCAAATAGTTATATGTTGATTAGCATATGATAGTGTACTATATACTAGGTAGAAAGTGTAAAAGTTAAAAGTTATGCCTTGTATGTTGAATATGTATTGTTTTTCTATTCAAAATTTTATTAAATTTTTGCTTTTGGAAGTTTTAAACAATAACATTACACAAAGAATCTTTCTTATTGAATATATTTTATAGAATTTTTTGGTTATTATTATATGATTCTGCTTATTGATTAGTTTTTTTCAGAAGCTTTATTGATATCTGAGTTTGATACAATTTCTTAAGAAAAAAATAGTACTATGAAATTGGTCAATATCAATAATATGATATTCATATTCATTACAAATTAAAAGAATATTAAATATGAGCAATAACAGTTTTTGCATATTAGTCACTCACAAAACTGACTTTAATCAATACTCAAATTAATTTTTGTTGGAATACTAAAATCTACGTGTCAAATTATTATAAACATCATTTGAAATTATTTCCATCAGACTTTTCAACAAATAATGTATTAGACTGAAATTAACATTATGTAGAAAGCACAACACTTGCAAGCAGTGATATGGCTGGGTACAGAACTATAAAAAAAAAGGGTTTACTCGCCTTGTAATGTTTAGTCAAAAACAAATAAGTTGAAATTCTGATAGGGTACACAACCTACTCTCACATAAACAGCTATTCTCATTCAGTGCTGCCCTCTATATGCAGTTCTTTTTTTATTTTGCACATGCCACAAGCCTTGAATCTCCCACCCATTTGGAATTGACTGATTCCATTGCGTCTCGCATGCAAATCATCATGTGAAAACCCTCCACCAATAAGAGTGCAAAATACTCTCTTGATGCACATGACTTCCTCTATTCTATTCTACCGAAATATTACTTCTCGTTTGACAGTACTCGTGTTAATACATTTTTTGTTTTGGTGCTCTTCATATGATTTGAATTCATATTAAAGGAAAGATGGGAAAGAGTCACGGCTACGGAGAATTTTAAGATCAATTTCAGGAAAAATATCAAACTGGTCGAACTATTAATTTTTTTGTATGTAAATAAACATACACATTTAAAATACATGTACCGGTATTAATAATTATATGATTATCACTGACCCAACACAAGGCTAAATTTTTCAACAAAAAAAATAAATTGACCCGCGATCAAAAAAGTTTGCCGACCACTGGTCTAACCAAATCAAGCCCTTTGCGTTAAACGGGTCTGCCAGACAGTAAATTATTAAACCGATGAAGAAGAAGAGAAAAAAAAAAAAAAAGAGTAGGTTTATAATTTTATAGCATTCTTGTATTAAAACTTTTAAATTTTTTTCGTGTGGCACATCTGTTGACGACTTAATTGAAACAATGTTATTAAATAGGATTATTTGCATTTCACTTAATTATCTTTTTATTGCTATGTTAGCTGGGAATAAGACATTTGGAGCAAACACTTGAAGAATTTGTTTGTTTGTTTGTTTTTTGAATTTCGCGCAAACCTACACGAGGGCTATCTGCGCTAGCCGTCCCTAATTTAGCAGTGTAAGACTAGAGGGAAGGCAGCTAGTCATCACCACCCACCGCCAACTCTTGGGCTACTCTTTTACCAACGAATAGTGGGATTAACCGTCACGTTATAACGCCCCTACGGCTGAAAGGGCGAGCATGTTTGGTGGTATGGGGATTCGAACCCGTGACTCGCAGATTGCGAGTCGACCTCCCTAACCACCTGGCCATGCCGGGCCTCCCTTGAAGAAAAGTGAAGCTATTGAATAATTATAAGTCATTGCAATAACTATGAATTTATTATGATTTTTAGCATAGTTGTACATTTTAGTTTGCATGGTCCTGTGGTTAGGGCGCTTAAATCGCAAAGAGCGCGAGGGTTCGAATTCCATCACCGAACACTCTCGCTGTTTCAACTGTGGAGACTTTATGATGTGGTGGTCAATCCCACTGTTCGATTAGAGTTGGCGGTGTGCGGTGTTGCCTAACTACCTTTCATCTTGTTTATTACTTCTAAATTAGTTAATGATAGCGCCGATAGCCTTCGAGTAGCTTTGCGCGAAATTCAAAAACAAACAAAAGATTTTAGTTGTCCATTTGAGATAGGCTAGGAAAATGATTTTGAATGCATCACGGTCTCTAAGTAAAATAGTTATTAGGGTTATTGCATTGCTTCTTATAACACATAAACAGAGTACAAATCAATAATTAATGCAAATGACAGGTGTGTTTTTACTACGTAGAATCAAAGCACTTCTGACAATGTACGCTCTACTTATACACAATGAATCCCACTGATATATTGTTTTCAAAGAACAAATACACTTGGAAATTAATTCTTTAACTAAAATGCATGGCTAATTTATAATACACACTTACTCAGTTATATTGTTTTCGGTTGAGTATTTTTAGTCTTTTTGACACCGACGTATGACAGATCAGTAACTTCATACGAGCTAGAATTTCCAAACGAATGGTGTTTAATTAATGCAACTTCAAATCGTAAACAGAAAGAACGTATTTCTTTGCAGATGTTTAAGTTTCATAGACTGTTTAGTTTGGAATCTACACACTTCTAGCACTATTGTTCGAAAGCGAAAAGAAGGTTCTAGTGTAATGATTTTTGTTCATGTTGAGGGAAGTTAGTGACCACAATTTCAGCTTTCAGATCAAGCTCAGAATGCGATATTAGGGATTAAGTGTCCAGTGATATATCACGAGTTTTAGCAAATCTTTCGAGTCGCGAGATTACTGGACACGTGTCCAATAAAGGTTCTTTTTGGGAGAACAATTTTTAATGAACTACGTGAGAGCGTTTATTATATGACTTAAACGAGTAAGACAAATTCGAGCGTGAAAATTGAACAGCATTTAAAAAGCCACTTCATCATTTAGTTTATGGGATCTGTCAGAGCTTGAGTTTATTATGAAGACTGATGTTGAAGTGGGAACTATATCCATGACTCACTCTTCACTGTACTTCCTGATAACGTTCTCGGGCTTAAAAATTTATACTCGAAAAATTGTAACAGAGGCAGACGGAGAATCCAACGTGACTGGGATTGAATATGAAAATCCTGAAAAAATTAGACAGTTGATTTATCATCGAAATATACGGAGTTTATATTTTTTCCGTTTTCTTCTTTTTTGTGTGTGTGTGTATGGGAGGTGACATTCTGTAAAAACATCGAGAAGCTCAAAGGAAAAAAGTTGTGGTTAGATTCTGTCAATTTAAGATTTACTTCTGGAAGAAGAATGGCGTCAATTTCTATTCACTCCATTAGTTAGCCCATAGGGACCACTCTTTTCGACAGCTCAATGGAGTGAGGTGTTTTAGCTCATTTACGTTACTTCGGGCGGTTTGTTACAAGGCTACCGTTTCTTGTCTGGAGTTCGCAAAGTTTCGATCTCAAAAAACGTCTAGGACTTATTTATGTATCTATTAAAATTTCCTTTCATGCATCGTTCCAGCAACAGCTTCCTCATACTTTTCTGCACACACAATTTAAAATAAATTATTAGAAGAACCTCCCATAACTTAAATCAAGCAACATATAAAGTTGCCCTACCAAAAGAAAAAAGAAATAACACTGAAGCAAATAAAGTGGAAAGACTTTTATATTACCGTGCACAGACTTTCTTTCAGTCGAATGTTTGTTTTAATTGATACGACTTTTAAACGGATATATAGCTTGAGTTTTATTAAATGTTCCGTGAAGAAACACTTGGAGCAAGCAGTCTAATGGAATGTTCTTACTCATTTCGATGTTCAACATGAACGTTTAACACCGAATATTCAATTTATCGATCAATTTTTATAGTTTTCATTGATTCAGATAGAATTTTACTTATCGACCGCTGATAAAATACAGTTCATCAAGCGACACCTAGAAATATCGTAAAAGGTAAGAGAAAGCTTTATTTTATA